GTAGTCTTGCTCTACGAACTCGCATCGACGTGCTAGTTCGCTCGTCCGGGACTCGTGCTTTGCTTCCCAGCTAATCTGGCTGGGCGCAGCCGCGAGTTCGCTTTGCTGCCCAGCGAACTTGCTGGCTAATAGCTAATGACACAGTTAATTATCAAGATTACTACCTCCATACTAAAACAATTGTAATTCTAGATTGTTTAGCATATATTAAGGTTTAAAAAGAAATACTATAATATCCCTTATTAAATGGTGTATAGGTAAGAGTGGAAGGATAGTTGAGGGTAAAATAGGGATAAATTTAAAAGAGAAGTGATTAATGGAACCATTAGTATTCTATTGTTATAATTATTTTACGACAAATTCATATGTATACATATAAGTATACTTAATAATGAATCAAATGATAGGAAAATAATTAATAATTACTTAAATTTTTTGAATAAGACGTACGGTCAAACATATTTAAAAAAGTCAACGGCGTTAAATATTTAGAAACGGAGAGTATATTTTTTAAATTTTAGTCTCGCGTCTCGTTGATCTCCAACGTTGCCACGGCCTCGCTGATTTCCTCTTAGAGCAGGTACAATAGCAGGCTATAAGCCAGCTGCAAACATATTTTAGGAAGATAAATGAGGAGAGAGAGAAACAGCGGACTACAGATTTGTAGCCAGCTGTACCACGAACTCCAAGACGAAGTGTGTGTGACAGGTGGGACCATATATTAATAGTGTAGTATATAACTATTGTATGAATGAGCTATTATATTGGCTATAAATGAATTGAAGCTAGTAGTTGGCTATACTATTAAACTTATTAAACTTGTTCTTACCGTCATCAGTTAGTAGCTACTAGCTACACATAAACTCTCTTTCATTTCCCACCCAAAGTTGTTTGGAAAAGATTTTAACATACCTCTCTGCTAGCATACCCATCAACTAATTTGGGAGTTTGGATGGCCTAAAAAATTTTAGTCACTATCACATCGGATGTTTGACACTAATTAGAAGTATTAAATGTAAACTAATGATAAAACCCATTCCATAACACTGGACTAATTCACGAGACGAATCTATTGAGCCTAATTAATCCACGATTAGCCTATGTGATGCTACAATAAACATTCTCTAATTATGGATTAATTAGACTTAAAAAATTTGTCTCGTAGATTGTCAGGGTTATGGATAGCACATACCTATATCCGAAGGTTGTTTTCATATAAGATATGGTATGTGGTGGGTCTATGTGATGCTACAATAAACATTCTCTAATTATGGATTAATTAGACTTAAAAAATTTGTCTCGTAGATTGTCAGGGTTATGGATACCACATACCTAATAATAGTTGACTAAATCTCGGCAGGACCCACCACATACCATATCTTATATGAAAACAACCTTCGGATATAGAAGGAGTTTCGCATAAGGAAGGATGAATAGAGTTCTACGTGGAAACGACAAGGACTACTCAGATTGTATCCATATTGGTTTCCCTAGTTCTACTTGGACAAGGGGACACCTATGGATATAAATAAAAGGCCCCCTAGGAGGAGAGGGGACACGGAACAATAGATCAAGACACAAGATCAACATACAAGCCAACATACGCCAAGACAAAACGCCGGATATCGACTTCAGAGATAAGCATGGCTAGTCCCCTACGGTGTCTGCGGATACTGATAGGAGACACATAGCGTTGTCTTTGATCTTGCCGGATGCGGATTCGAGGAGGAAGGCTACCCTGTTGTCGACTACGAGTCAGCACTTCAGACCGCCAAGTCGACAACACTTAGATAGGCTACCCCAAATATTGTAATGGTGTGATTATGGTGAATAAGAGCAACGACCGGCTTCGGCCAACAGGAGTAGGGTTATTACCTGACAATTCAGGGGCCCGAACCTCTATAAAAATCATCGTCGCCATCTTTTACCTCAGTCTCGCATATATCCTAGTATCAACGATCCCCATACTATGCAAATACCGGAATCGCGACATCAAACGTCGACACAGATTAACTCTCATTTATGCAATTAGTTTTATAAGTAGTCTATGTTTAATACTCTAAATTAGTGTACAAACATCCGATGTGATATGGATTAAAGTTTAGTCCCTAAATCCAAACGCCCCTCAAAACTCCAGAATTCCCACTAAGAAAGAGTTCCTCGTTTTTTTTACAGTAGTACTCCCTCCGTTCCATTTAAGTGCAGTCATGTTTTTTCGTCTAACTTTGATCGTCCGTCTTATTTGAAGATTTTTTTATATTTAATTTTTTTGTTGTTATTAGATGATAAAATATGAATAGTCTTTACTAGTGACTTATGTTCTTAAATTTAAGACGGACGATCAAAGTTGAACGTGCAAACTTATGGTTGCACTTAAGATGGACGGAGGGAGTACTAAAGTAGAGTACCAACACAACATAGCTGCACTCAACAACACGCCACACGCGGCAGTTTTGCTGCGTTATCGTTAGCACACCAACTTATAGCTAATAAGGTTTTTTTTTTCTTTTTTTAACATATCCCTTACTCTGATGACTAGTCCAGATTTATTGTCCAAAGATGTGTCACATCTATTTAAAATCCCTTATATTATGGAACGGATGGAACGGAGGGAGTACTTGTCTTGGCTAAATTTTTGACACTGCTTCCAAGTTTGGCCTTAGGATGTGTCCTTTACTCTAGTTTTTCAATTTCTACTCTCTTCTTTTTTTGCACACTTCCCATACTGTTAAACGGTGTATTTTTCTATAAAAAGTTGCTTAAAGGCATATTAATTCATTTTATTTGTTTTAACTAAGTACCCCTCCGTCCCATATTATAAGTCCACCCAAAATCCCTTATAATATGGTACATAGGGAGCACTTAGGAGCTGTTTAGTTCACGGTCATACTTTGCCATTACTTGCCAATAAAAGTTGACACACCTTGCCTAAGGTGAGGTGATCAAATTGTTAGCCACAACTTACTAAGCTTAGGGAAATCTTGTCACACTTTTTTAAGCCATTGACACGTGGGACCCAATTTGTTGGAGGGGAATCTTACCACAACTGTGGCTACAACCAAACACCTGTCAAATTTGCCTAACCTTAGGCGTGGCAAAATATGGCTTGCAACCAAACACACCCTTAATTAATTATATGCTAATGAGTCACTTCGTTTCGCATGTGTAGGGATTAGTTCCCAAACCGTTTTTTATTTTCGCTAAACACAACCTAGTAGGCTAGTACTACCTCTATCCCAAAATATTACTATCTAGACCGTGTTTAGTTCCAAAATATTTCTTCAAACTTTCAACTTTTCCATCACATCAAAACCTTCCTACACACACAAACTTTCAACTTTTCCATCACATCATTTCAATTTCAACCAAACTTCTAATTTTGGTGTGAACTAAACACACCCCTAGTATAGAAAGATGTCCAGATTTGCAGTGCTAAAAAATATAATATTTAGGGCCTGTTCACTTTGATGCCATTTTCAACCTTACCAAAATTTGGTAAAGTTATCAAAAAAGTGGCTATATTTAGTTTGCTGTCAAATTTTGGTAACTATATAAAATTTTGGTAGGGAGCATCTATCTATTTGTCGGGTGATTTCTAATAAAAAAATCACCCAAATTTTTTTTTACCCTTGTATTTACATCCAACGGACTACAAAAGAAAAATAACAAATACATATTAACTTACACATTATTTTTACCAAAATTACAGTGCACTTACATGTCAAATCAAGTAAATTTACAAATATAATTTTAGTTATATAAGACTGTAATTTTATATTTTAAAGAAAATAATAAGTACATATTTAGTTACATATTATTTTTATCAAAATTACAGTACACTTACATGTCAAATCAACTAAATTTGCAAATATAATTTTAGTTATATAGGACTGTAATATTATATTTTAAAGAAAATAGTAAGTACATATTTACTTACATATTATTTTTATCAAAATTACAGTGCACTTACATGTCAAATTAACTAAATTTACAAATGTAATTTTAGTTATATAGGACTGTAATTTTATATTTTAAAGAATTTAATAAGTACATATTTACTTACCCATTATTTTTATCAAAATTACAGTGCACTTACATGTCAAATCAACTAAATTTACAAATGTAATTTTAGTTATATAGGGCTATAATTTTATTTTATTTTTATTTTTTATTTTAGTTTCAAATGTCTTAATTTTTCAATGGTTAAAGAAATCAATTTTTATTTAGATGTTTAAGATATGTTAAATTTGTTGTATCGATTAGTACTTAATCTGACATGTAAATTAACATAGAGATATTTCTTAATTTGACATATAAAAATTACATACTTCATGTATTTTATTCACATGGCAAGACTAACACACCTTGACTCCCAGTCGACCTTATCCACGGCAATTGCTGCGCAAATCTTGGCGCAAAGACCATGTGGTAAAAAAACGTCAAATGACAAGGAAAAAATATCTCGCCAAAATTTGATAAGGTTTATTTTGCCAACAAAGTGAACAGCCCTTAGTTCTGTACTAATAGCAATGTTTTGAGATGGGGTAGTAGCTCCGCCACAAAACTCCGGTTGAAAACGAAAGCGACGGTTAGCTGTCGAGGGAGACGAAGAGGTCTCAAAACGTACCTGACATCATTATACAGCTGACATTTAGGCCAATCCAATTCCGTATGTCCGTGCGGCTTTCATTTTTTTCCTTCTCCTTTTGACCAAACGCAACCCATTTTTCATTCATTTCCCTTTTTTATTAGCCAGTCTTTTCTACCTCCAATTTTGACGGACACGAAAAAAAGTAGTACTAAAACGAAAAAAAAAAAACACTCATCTCCCACAAAAATTCCTACTAAAAAAGAAATTCATCTGTTCAGACTGTAGCAGATCGAGACAACGCCACACACGCACACACACGACACGACAGCTTCGTGCTCAAGCGAGCAGCAGCTAGTATAGAACCCAAAAAAAAAAAAAATCGGCCCCATTTGAAAAGCTCGGAATCCCCCATCTCAATGGCGATGTCGAGCTGAGCACCACCCTAGCGGTGGAGTAGGGGAGCTGTGGTCGGCGGCGGCCGCCGCCAGTTGGGTGTCTCGGAGTGAGACCGGGAGAGGCGGCGGAGGGAGCTCAGGGAGGGAGGGAGGAGGGGCGGCGATGGTGGGCGGAGGGGCGCTGCGGCGGGTGGGGAAGTACGAGGTGGGGCGGACGATCGGGGAGGGGACGTTCGCCAAGGTGAAGTTCGCGCAGAACACGGAGAGCGGGGAGAGCGTCGCCATGAAGGTGGTCGACCGCTCCTCCATCCTCAAGCACAAGATGGCGGATCAGGTGAGCCCCCATCTATCTCTTCTGTTTTTTTTTCCTTTTTTTGTTCTCTCTATTTGCGTGTTGATCAAGAGATTTTGCTGTACTAGCTTAGCTTGGGAATTAATTAGTGTATGCCACGGATTTGTCTAGCGCCTTGAGACACAGAATGGATGAGGGAGATTGTTTAATTCGACCCTCTTTTCATCCTCTTTTGCGCCAAATTCTACTCGGTTTGTCAATGGTGGGTTTGATGCTTCATGTCCAATTGGCGTCTAGCTTGCAGCTTCCTTTCCCCACAACAAAGTGTTAACAGTGGTGGTACCAGGATTGTTGAATCGAATCGCAATTTTAAACTTCCGCCGAGCAGTTTGTTCTTCTGTATATACCTATTAAGATATTGTTGTTATAAAAGAAAAAAAAAAGTAAGGTACCTATGTCAAGAAGCACCCCTTTGTAAAAAAGAACTCACAGGTTTATGCTTGTAAGGGAAAGGCAGTTTTAGCTGTTCTAGTTTTGTGTTGTTGAGCTGCGTAAGTTAGCTGAATCCTGATGTATCAGGGTGATAAAACAGGAGCTTACTTAATTATTTCTGCAGATTAAGAGAGAGATATCTATAATGAAGCTTGTGAGGCATCCGAATGTGGTTAGACTACACGAAGTACACCCTCTTTCCCTTTTCTCTCTTTAAGTTTTGTTGTTTACTTCTTTGTTCTCTCTTGCTTTTTCCAAGTGCTGATTGGGTGATCATATCTGTTCTGTTATGTGCAGGTCTTGGCAAGCCGGAAGAAGATATTTATAATCTTGGAGTTCATCACTGGCGGTGAACTATTTGATAAAATAGTAAGGCCCTGCTTGTTAATGATAAGTGTCCTTTTCAGTGTCATTTTCTCGATATGACCTATGAAAAAATTGAAGTTAAATTAGTTCTTGTATCTGTTGCCTAGTTGTCTACCTCATTACTTCTGGATTGAACAATCGCCACTTGTGCTTGTTGGATTTAACACACAAAAATGAGTTTTCAAATCTATGTTGAAGCTTAGTTATTCTGGGAACAATGCCATTTCAGATTCGTCATGGAAGACTCAATGAAGCTGATGCACGCAGATACTTTCAGCAGCTCATTGATGGTGTTGATTTTTGTCACAGCAAAGGTGTCTACCATCGAGATTTAAAGGTGATAAGTCAAAAGAAAAATACGAAAACTTTTTGTGTTTAGTTTGTGGGCTTTTTGATTTTATTTTGTATGTATGCAGCCCGAAAATCTCCTCCTTGATTCCCAAGGAAATCTTAAAATATCAGACTTTGGACTCAGCGCCTGGCCTGCTCAGGTCCATACCTTTCTGAAGGCTTGTCCAATATTCATATCCTTTTGTCGAGTTATTTAGTTTGTTCTTGTGCAGGGTGGTGCCCTTTTACGTACTACCTGTGGAACCCCAAATTATGTTGCCCCAGAGGTGAGTGACATCTGAATCACATGCTTTGCTTTGAGTTTTCCTAGATAGAAAACATTAAAATTGTCTTCTGCAACAAAGGGTGGTTTAAATATGGGTTAATTGGATCCATGCCACTGCAACTTTGCCAAATTGAAAAAATGCCACTACTATTCATCATATCGGCTACATGCCACTCGAAATTTCTAAAATTGGAACCATGCCACTCCAGTCAGTTTTTCCGTCCTCCTCTCTCACGCCGTCTCTATTCCCGTCATTATCCCCCCTCCCTTCCCATCCTCCTGCTCCTAGGTGGCCGGGGACAGCACCACCACCTTCGTCGTCCTCACCGGCGCAAGGGTCGGCGGCGCCGGTGCACGAAGACGAGGCTGGCCTGTGGTTCCCGTTCGCGGACTCGCTGGAGAAGGACATCTTCTCGGACCTCTTCTACGAGGCGCCCGTCGCGGCGGCGGCAACGGCTGCGGCTGCTGGCCTAGGCGCCGATGGCGACAGCGACGGCGAAGGCAAGCCTTGCAAGGACGATGCGGCAATGGCGGAGGAGCGTGGCGGGCCGGGCGCGGCGCGACCTGATGCCGCCGCCCAAGTCGACGCCCCTCTTCTCTTTATTCCCCACTTCTCTCCACCACGTCCATGATGTTAGCCGTCGCGCCGGGGAACGGGTTGCCGGCACGGAGGTTGTTGTCGGCGTCCATCACCCTGTACACCACCTTGTGCGTCGGCTTGCCGTGCTCGTCCACGCCATTCTCTGCAAAGATTTCACGTATCTCACTGTCAATTTGACAAATGAACTCATCCAATCCAGCGACAGCAACATCTGTATGGATTTAACAAGAATGGACCAAGCAAGATCGAAGCAGTCGGCGGCTTGGCGCCGCGGGGGCTGCCCATGCCAAGGGCCTCACGGCCGAGGCAATGCGGCGGCCGTGGCGCCGCATGTCGGGGTCCCCGACCGCCGACACTTTGCCGCCGCCATTCGTCTCGAGTCTCTTGATGGACTGCGCCACCAAGTAGCACGAGATGGCGAGGACTTGACGGACCCGTGGGCGGCGGCGGGGGCCGCCGCCGCCAAGGCGTCCGCAGAGGCCCCGCGCCGCTGGAGCGGAGGCGGAGGGCAAGGGACGCCGAGCTGTCCGCGCTCGCGTCGGCCACCCGTGAGGCTGTGACCGCTCGCGCCGCCGTGTTCCGGGAGCCGTCCCCGGCGCCGTTGGACGCGTCGTCGACGGCGGGGCGGCGCAGAGCTCCCGCCCGTGGTGCTGCGCGCGTCGTCGCTGATCCAGCGGTGGCGGGAGATCGAGGCGATGGGGCCCGCCACGTCGCGGCCCTACGACCTGGCCTTCGACTCCGACGGCGGCTCGCCGCGGGCCACGTGGGGTGCATCGTCAAGAAGCTCAGTGGCACGTCGTTGCCGCCGCCGCTGTACTCGATCCACGATGGGAGGTCTCGGGAGCCGCTGCTGCCGTCCTCGACGCCATCTGCGGCGGGAGTGCTCGGGAGCTGCCGGCGGCGTCGCCGCTGTCCTTTGCAGTCGCACGGAGAAAGAAGAGGGAAATGGAAACGATTAAACGGTGGAACGAGACGGTGTGAGAGAGGAGACGGAAAAAGGGACGAGAGTGGCATGGTTCTAATTTTAAAAATTTCTAGTGGCATGTAGCTAATATGATGAATAGTAGTGGTATTTTTTCAATTTCGTATAGTTGCAGTGGCATGGATCCAATTAACCCTTTAAATATACCTTCATCCTAAGATGTCAGATTACTCAGTTAAACATGTGTGATGGAATACTCATACATTTATCCTTCAGGCAGGTTGAGTAACATTGTTCCACCGTGTAACTTAAGACATCTTCTCTAAAAAAATGTAAAAAATAAAAAGTGATATAACTAGAACTGTTTTTTATCTCTATACTGAATGAGCCAAATATGCATGATTGATATCTCTTGATTCTTTATTTGGAAAAATGCTTTACTTTTCATTCTCAGTAAAACCATGTGATGTGTTTCATATGATTATAGATAATGTGTTCACTGCAACCTTTAACTCCTTGTATGGATCAGGTTCTCAGTCATAAAGGATATGATGGAGCACTTGCTGATACATGGTCATGTGGAGTTATTCTATATGTCCTGTTGGCAGGTTATCTTCCATTTGATGAAGTTGATTTGACTACCCTTTACGGGAAGGTTTGTTTCTTCTAACCTATGGCAACTTTTTTGAAGCTCAAATAAGTATATTGCAACCCATTTATGATTTTGTGTCAGTGTATATCATATTGGCACATGATCTCTTTGTATGGAAGATCAGATCTCATGACATTTACTTGTATTTGCTTTTACTATACACTATGTGCTTACGTTTATTATCTAGCCACTCATTTAAGCATGATTAGTGGTATTAGTTTGTGAAATCCATGTGAAAACAATATCAAACATACTCGGTACTTCTCAGTGCATAGATAGCTAAGTAGCTTATGTAATGTAGTGTGTTGCTAGTAGTTAAAGATTACAGATCCTGGCAGTGGCTCTGATACGTGAGCATAGTGATCTCATACCTGCTTTCCTACTGCTGAAACATTCCGGCAAGTAAGAAATGTAAGCTTGCCGAAACAACTAACCAACTAAAAGGAAATTAACCTCGGCATCCTTTAGAATAAACTAGTTAACATGCTACTACTTTCAATAAGAGAATTAGCAGAGAAGCTGGGGAGCACAACAACAATAGCAGACTCATTACACATGGCTTCATAGCTAAATCCTCTCCTTTTCGCTCTTGTTTCTCTTTTCTTTTTGGTTGGTGGAAGTATAAACATTTGTATTCCATTCTAGTAGGACTGATTAAGAGATATATCTATTTGCATATTTCAGGTTGAGATGCATATAGCTATTTTTATTTTCTAGATTTGAATATTAGTTCAACATATGCCTTGATGGATGGAATAGAAGTTTTTATCTAAAATTGTTTTTCTTTTGTACAGAATATACAAATTTATATCTGTCTATTTGCTTAATACAGATAGAGAGTGCAGAATATTCATTCCCAGCTTGGTTTCCTAATGGTGCCAAGTCACTTATTCACAGAATTCTTGACCCTAATCCAGATAAAGTAAGTAAAGTTATAGAAGTGTTTAGCTAAAGAAAATCTCCATTGGCTGATATGAATTCAATGAATTATAGTTTAGATACATCACACCTCTAGATACTGATTTTCATTGGCATTTTGTTGACTCAATATGAATTTTGACTTGGAACAGAGAATCAGGATAGAAGAGATCAGGAATGATGAATGGTTTAAGAAGAATTATGAACCTACCAGAGAAATTGAAAGTGAAGAAGTCAATCTTGATGATGTCAATGCAGCTTTTGATGATCCTGAGGTATTTATGCTTACTCTTGTCTTAGAACTGTTTTTGGAAAGGAATCATTGCATATATATGACATTTTGTATGTGCTACAATCTTCAAAATATGCTCCAAATGAAAGCCTCGGAATGGAATTTCAGTTGCTCCAGATAAGAACTATTAGCAGTAACTGAAACTGGAATTTCAGTTGCTCCATTGTTAATTATGAAATTTGATCAGAAAGCCTGTTTCGCACTGAAGCTATGCTGTACGTTTTTACGGGAGCTCTATTGTGCCTTTTACCTGTCATTATATAAATATATAATTTGTGGTCCTTTTTCTGTGTGATTTCAGGAAGACGCTGACCATACTTTAGATGACGAAGCAGGACCTTTGACACTCAATGCATTCGACCTAATAATTCTATCTCAAGGCTTGAACCTTGCAGCACTATTTGATCGCCGACAGGTATGGTGCAAGACATTTTGTGATGTCTAGTGTTTTCGCAAACTAAAAGTTGGAGTACAGGACTAACACTGTTATTATGTCATGTCCCAGTTCTACATTTTTTAATTAATACGCTATTTGGGCATTAAATCATGGTTCTTATTGTTATTATCGGTGAATATTCAGTTTAGTTTAAATAGTGTACATGTGATTTGCTGCGGCAGTTTACATTATTTTTGCAATCATGTATTATATGCATAGACTAAAGAAAATCCATTTGATTCAAATTATTTTAACATATAACCAGAGGAAAAAGACAATGATAGACCATCCCATCTGATGATCTTTGTTCCTCTTCTCTCAAACACACCTTAATATTGTTGCTGCCCAACTTGACACAATTCAAACTATCCTCTATTTTTATTATTTTTGTATGTACTCCGCAATACTGGTATTGCCTAGAAGCTTGTTTAAATGTCCATGGTTTACCCTGTGTGTGAGTTTTATAGATAATTATGGGTTTCTTCTCCTCGGACCTAATGCTTGATGCCTTGATCTACAGGACTATGACAAGCTTCAAAATAGATTTTTATCACGCAAACCAGCAAAGGTTATCATGTCAAGCATGGAGGTTGTTGCTCAGTCAATGGGGTACAAGACACACATTCGCAATTATAAGGTAAAGTTTGTTGCCCCACACCCTATAGCTTGTTACAACATCACTTACCTATTATACAGATATTGCAAATCATCTTCTCCTTCATCTTAGCTGACAAGCAGTTGTTCTATCTATTTTGTGATAGTTAGAATGTAACTGTTTTTTGGTTCATTGTACAGACATACAGACATGAGGATCTGTAGTTCTGTTAAGGTCTAAATTGTATCAGAAGAAGCAGCACCCTGTCTTGAAAAGCTTATTGTTTTCTGGAATGTGAATATGTTATTTTAAAGTCAAATAAATTTCTTATTATCTTCAATGTATCAAGCCTCATGTTTGAACAAGTTGTCAAGAGAACGTCATTTGATATGCTGGCATTTACATTTGAAATTATTGTCTAAGTAGCAACCACAAACTACCTCTGAATTGACACAAAAAGCATGATGATATCAAAAGTATTAATTCATTAGAATGTGTTTAGGTTGCTGGTCTAAGGGGTTACAATAAACTGTACCCCAATTTTTTGTACATATATATGCACAAGTTTTATCAACCTGAGTAAACAGTACTTCATTTCAGTCCTTTTACCACTGGTTTAACAGTATTGAATGGTATTGCCAGTGATACATCTCTTTAATTTCTTGTATTGTTTGTTTGTGGCCTTTTTTTTTCCCTTTTGGCATAACATTGTCTGGATGCTGGTAAATTGTGATCAAATGCGGGCTTACAGTTTTAATATTATTCATGCTGTTATTTTGCAAGTAAAAGAGTTATAATGTTTTGTCTTGTGATTTTGATTCTCAAAACTTCTTTTACTGCTAATTAGTTAGCATTACCATGGACATATTTGATTCCTTACATCTAGTTGTGCTATTAATATATTCAGATGAGGGTGGAAGGTCTAAATGCAAATAAGACAAGTCATCTCGCAGTTATGCTTGAAGTGAGTCTTGCCTCTTTTGTAATGAAGTACATCTGTTGTTTTATTGCCTTCTATTATGGATTACTCCAATCCTTTTCATCCTGAGTTTCCTCTGGTCAGATTTTTGAAGTTGCCCCATCGATCTTCATGATTGAACTGCAAAGAGCAGCGGGAGACACCTCCGATTATAACAAGGTCAGATGCAAAGAGCCTTTCATACTTGCATCATGCTGTTTCTTGAGGTCCTACAGCCGATACACCATGTATAGCTAAATGCACCTGATACATCTAGGCTGTAGACAGCCTAGTGTTATAAAGCTGGAAAATATTTTGCAATGTTGTTACCACAGAGCTTTACGGAGACTGTCTAGAAAATAGTTAGGTACTAGTAGTACCAGACTGATGTGGGACCTACCTGTGTACATGCATGGACCGTACTATTCATTTGCTGCTGTCTTATTTTTCAGTTTGTGTTTTGTCAAAGCTAAATAAGCATGCCTAATGTTAAAGGTTAGGCATGGGCAAATATATTCAAGTAGTTTCTTCACCCAAGAAATCTGAAATAGTAATGCTTATAATTTCCTGATGAAACTTCTTGCTTCACTAGATATTTTTGTGAATTGTATAATGTAAAATAAATTGATCTGGATAATGGCTTTTGATTTGCTAAGACATGCACAACTAACTCCGCGTGTCTTATGTGCAGTTTATAAATAATTACTGCAGCAAATTAGACGATATCATTTGGAATTTTCCAATTGAGAAGAGCAAATCAAGGATATCGCGGCTATCGAAGCGCTAGTCTGCTTTGACATCCATCATTTGTATGCTGTTGTTCAACTCTATTTTCATCTTCTATTGCCATAATATTTGCATTTACCTCTACTTATTACCTCTTAACCATACCGGAATGCTCACCACTATTGCAGGTACTATGTGTAATCTAATGCTATGCAGCTTGAGTGGTATTGGGTTTGTTAGTGGATGTATTTGTAGAGATTGCCAATTCAATTCATCTCTGATCTTTTAGTTATAAGAGATGACCATGTACAAAGGGCCACTGAAAGTTTTGGCATCTCAGTTTCTCTGTACAATGTTTGCAGCGAGGTATATTAAACAGTTTGACTGACCGCCGCTCCCTGCTCATCAACACGCTTTGTAGTTTGTCTCAAGATGTATTAATTTCTCCCTGCTCCATTAGCAGCTTGCATCAGTATGAGTTCCGGTTGCCTAAACTGCCATTATGCTAGCTAACTGCCTTATACTCCTATCTTGCAATGTCATAGAAAGTATGTGAGGTTTACGTTAAAAAAAAAAGGAGTTTGAAAGAAAGTGTTAGGCTGTATAAGCAGAGGCCTATACAGGATCGAGCATCCACTGTGAAAGGAATTGCAGAATGACACTAATACAATGATCAAAGAGATAGTGTCAGCTACTTGCTTACAGGATTGTTCTGCCAACAAAATGTGCAGTTCACTCATTCATGCGGTTACTGTGAAACGAATTGTAGAATGAAACCCATACAGTGATATCAATTCTCAAAGATTGTAAGCTCCTCTAAAAAAAAGTTTGTCGGCTACTTCAGATTGCATGATTCTGTTGCTAGCAAAATGTCCACTGCTGCCACACATTCATAAGGTTACAATTTACAGGCCATACAAAGTTCAGGGATCTACATCATAACACAGTGTAATGTGAAAAAAACATGATCATCCTTCTCTCCTATTATCACCACTTCACCAGTGAGAGCCAAGTTCTCTATTGTAAACACCATTCTTTAGCAGCTGCGTCTCAAAAATGGTCAGTTTGCTGCGGCAAGTTTGTAAAATTTCCTTATAATCAAAGTCACCATCAAGATTGCCAAGACACATTACACTTCGATTCCTAGAGAACAACCCCAACCCTGAAAGCTGTTCATTAGCTCATGATCATGGACTAGCAGACGCTGAACTTACATATGGTTACCACCGCAGATATCTGTCGTAGGAATGATCCGACAGAAAAAAGATGGGCCAAAACATTGGAGAGATGCGAACCATTGGCAGGTTTCGCTCATCACATCTGACAAGAAAAAATCAAGACTGTCTGAATTGCACGCAGTGAATGAAACTTGCTTCAGTAATAGACGACCGAGGGTGAAAGATGGCTGCTTTGATTTAGGATGCAAGATTAAAGCTGAACGCCATTAACCATTACCGCTTGGATAACTCCTGTGTCCACTGAACCGATGAACATCTCTAGTGAGAAACATCTCTAGTTTTTTGGTACATCCTCCTGTATATGGTTGCTCCTTCTAACTCTGCATGTACTTCTCTCTCTGTCCGTATGCCCATTGGGTTGTCCAGAAGCCATCCTTCATTGTCACATCGAAGATCTTTATCAATACAGTCAACATGCTCAAACACATCCGAGTATTCATCAAACCTTTCCCTCATGTCTGCAGCCACTTCGAGTACATCCGATTGCAAAAGAACCTAACAAGGAAAAATGGTGAGTTATTGAGAAGACAATTTGCAAAATAACGTGTCGCCGTGGTAGACAGATGGCAAGTTGGCAACTGTAAAAACTTATACAGGTATACAATTAATATTATCAAAATTCCACTAAATGATATTTCAGGCCATCCAACCCAGCAAGCCACAGAGCAGCATATCATTTATTCACATTCTGGTTCACACAATAGATTCCAACCATACTGTTTATTCACATAAATCGAAATAAAAGGGTATTCAATTGGACAGAACTAATGCATATTAGGAACAATCATGCTAATGTAAAATACTGATTTCACATTATTCATGCAAAAACTGTATACTTTTCAAAATACATACAAGAATTGCCATACCCGTCCACCTAAACAGAGGTTATTTGTGATTGAATCCACCAACTGCGATTGTAGAACTCTTCTCTTGTGATGCCTCTTCTTAAAATGGGGATCAGGACACTATAGAAAGAAAATATCAAATTCTGGTTCCGAAACATGAAAGAAAAGCAGACCAGGAACTAAACTAGCATATTCAACCAACGTCACGGAAAACTGACATTACACCTAGCTATACTCACCAGTATAGAAACAAGTGACAGGGGACCAGGGTACGACGACGCAATCTGGTTGAAAGACACTGTTGCATTTGCAAACATAAAATAACTGTGCAAAAATGAAACCACTTAGTATCGCCTCATCATTTTCTGAAAAAAAAGGAAACTGGATGCTTTAACGTAAAAATCCAAGGTAGCTTACACATTCCTAAGCCCCAACTCGGTTACCCAGAACTGCGACCGCTCCACCAACTAAACAAACAAAGCAAGGAGCACATTAGCACACAAAACTCTCCACATTGCATCATGCATTCCAGAAATCAAAATTCATTTAAAGTAAACCTCGGAACAACAGAAACCTTCTGCCGAATCTCCAGGCCGAGGTAGTTTCGCCTTTCACCGGAGTTCTTGGCAAGCCAAATCAAGAACCTCCCGCTCCCTACATAGCAACGTTTCATAGATAAAGCTGATACAATCTGAGTACACATGAGCACAGCAAAGTAAAAAAAAAAAAGAAAAGAAAAAAGAATTGGGGAAGAAGGAAGGAACGCACCGCAGCCAATGTCGACCATGAGTGGCAGCAGGGGATCCTCGAACACCTCCTTCCACTCCGGTGGCTCCGTGGGCTCCTACACAGAAAAAACAAAAACAAAAAACACCTAATCAAAGGAAGGAAAGCTGAAATCTGAAAATGCTGGGGGAGGCAGGGAGGTTGAGGTTCACCGAGAAAGAGGAGCTGAGCGGGTTGACGTGCTGCCGGATGCGCAGGTGATGGCCCCTCTGCGTGAACCACGAGAAGAGAGCGGTGAGACGGGTGGCGCTCGCGCTCTACTTGGGGGGGGTAAGGAAGGAAGACCGGGGGGAGGAAGAAGAGGGCGGACGTTGGGGTAGAGCGGGCGGAGGTTGAGGTCGGCGTACTCCCTGTCCACCGCGTCGGGGCTCTGCGCGGCGGAGCACCGGGTCGAGAGCGGCGAGCGGCGGCGGGCATAGGGCACTAACAAGGGGAGGCGGACGAGGCGGCAGCACAGGGAGGCCGTCGCCGTCGCCGGCGAGGCCATGGGTAACGCACGCTTGTACCGCGGACGAGGCGCCGCCGCCGCCGCGCCGCCTGTTCGACCAAAATCCCACGAGAGAGGAGGTGGGGTTCGATGGATTGCTGAGATTTTGACCATTTGATCTTTTTCTCAGACTTATTTGAGAAATGGATAACGCTAAAAACTTTCCTTTTCTTAAAAAAAAAAAACCCTCAACTTCAGCATTATAAAGATTGACATTGTGGTCCAACATCTCAACACCGTCTACTTCAGCACCGAGAAGCTTATCGAGCTAGCAACAAGCTTAGAAGGTTGGTGTTGACAGATACACCAAAAAATCAGCGTGATGCGTCTATTATGTTATAACTTGAGTATCTGGTTGTTTAATTGGCTTTTAATTCTTTGTATAAGGTTGATGAATAAAATAGTCCGTAGGCTTGTTGGGTTGATGATGTTGCTTGATATTAGAACCGATGCTGATGACCGTAGTGTTCTTGTTATTGAAACAAGTTATAAAAGTTAGTTGATATAGTAGAACAACGACTAACCTTCTCGATCTTTTCAGTCATAGATCACCTAAGACATGCCAGATGACGACATACGAACACATGATATTTGCTAACAAGGTTCAGCCCAAGCCTATATTTCTGGGGTTCTGATTATGGGCGCTCCTCCCCAACCAATATATTACCTAGCCACTACGAGTCCATGGCCACGTTGCCATCCTCTCCCTGCGTGTCTACGCTACATTGAAGTCACCATCGTTACATTGTGGTGCCCCCCTCTCTATTTAAGAGAGATGCTGGATTACAGAGACCAACTCTAACTCGACCCCCTACCACCTATTACAACTCCAAGTCCAACTGTTACCAAATAGGACTAGTATATTCGACACATATTCTAAACGAGAAAGCTCCCTCCGAGGAACCGATCGCGACTGAACCGACACAAGAGGCGTCTAGCAAAGGCACGTGGCAGATACCGAATGATCTGTTTGAGATACAGATTACGCAAGCGCCCAGTATTGAAGATGACCCAGAATACATCCCTATTGAGCAAGCAGTAAGTCGAGCAGTAGTCCTACGAACTAATCCGTGTACGATATCAGTCCCGCTTAACGTTTCATGTTGCAATGTCCATACAGATGGAAACACAGCGCCGCTCAAAAAGAAAGGCCGTCAAGAATGTCCGTGTAGTTTGGTCATTTCGCATAGGCAGTAACCGTCAGACCTGCCTATAAAAGGAGGAGCTCACTCTCATTTCCAATACACAACTTGAGCTGAATTACAAGAGGCTCTATTGTATCTTTTGTACATTAGAATAAGGTAGAGAGTGAGGGGAAGCTCTGGATGAGTGCCCGGAAGTTTGGCGCTCATCCGACTTCTATTTTGATGAGTGTAGCTTCTTAGGAGGAATTCTGGAGGAGTACCGGAGCTGTCGGTACACTCTGCTCCAGGCTCGAAGAACTTCTTCTATAAAGTAAGCATTCGTGATCCTTTCTTTTGTTATTTAATCTAAGTAAGATATATTTCCATGTTTGCGGGTTTATTGTTTAGTATTCGTACTAACTGCTCTAGTACTAGGACTCCGGATAAAGAAGAAAGTTCCTGCGCAAGTATTAGAGTAGTAATTACTAACTTAGGTGTGATGTCTAGGTTAGAGATTACCTTTGTTTGTTGTGTATCTCACGGATTTGTCAGAGGTAGGCGGCAGGTGGTGACAGCCCTGAATCCCGTCCCAGTAATCCTCCATGTTCGGATACATCATAGAGCTATAGCTGGAACCACGTTGGCAGACCAGCAGGGGTCGGTGCCCGAAGCAACATATAGGAAATTACCTTTGCTTAGCTTAGATAATTAAAACTCATAGAAAGTCCTCTCTAGCCTAGCCTGCTTACCTACAGTTGTTGTCCTTAGATAGTCTTAGCCTTAGGTAGATTACACATGTTCCCTGAGTTTGATATCTTGTTGGGGTCACCCGAAGGTGAAGTGCTACAGCGGTATTCCGTGCGCTTGCGGATTTATCTGTGGTCGTAAGAAATACCAACATGTTTCACTAGGACATTTGCACATGTTTGTACGGTGTTGTTTTTCTAGATATTTTACTAAATATTTTATCATGTTTTACGTTATAATTTATGCATGATATAAGAATGTTTTAAGATAATTAAATATATATGTAAATATATAGTATGTTTCGCATGAGTTTTCTTATGTTTCACTCATTCATACTTAATGTTTCATGTAGTGGTCGTTAGTGTTGCAGTTAATATTTTCTTAATGTCGCATCTCTCTGAAACATGCTATATAGTGAACTTAAACATATAATGACCAAGTAATGAAACATTTTTTAATAAGTGATGAAGCAACTTATATTTTTTTAAAAAAAAATATAAGCATGTGAGATCTTGTTATAAAGATTTAATTATAAGAAATGCAACTGTGTAATTAGATCATAGATCGGACAGATAATTTAGAAGAAAAAAATATTTAATGTTATGAAGAGGAGAGAGGATATTCCTATGCATGCAGCATATGCGCTACCAAAATGCATAGGAGTAGTAGGCCGCAGCCTGCAGGGAGCGATACGTGGGCGCCCAATTTTTTTCGCGCGCGTATCAGGCGCCCGATGCATAGTTCCCTCCCAATATATTTATTCCATCCAACCAAAATTTGGCAATTCTACCAACTTACCAAAAATTTCGGTAAGGTTGATTTTGAAAGTAATCTTAAGAGGCCCTAAGTTCCGATAAGAATCATGAAAGGAGAGTTTCAGAGGGTAGGAGTCCAACAAGCAAAGAAAGATTCGAAATATGGCATCGATGTGATCATAGAAGAATGGACGTCGAGAATGGGCCTTATGGTCTTTCCGAGTCAAGGATCTTACTGAAAGTCAAGTGCCATTAATTTTATTTTGATGATTAATGATAAATTTAATTATATGAGACTAACATTTTTTAAACTCTCCTTTGTCTAGTTTCTCATGTGAGATATGAAAATTAAAATTGTGAGAGGTGGTTCTCATACTTGATATGGGTTAAGATTACCAGAAGTTCCAATTTGACCAAAAGTTCCCATCGTTCTAATATGCTACTATGAAGGTGTGATAATTTTTAGGAATGCCTATTCACCCCCTCTCTCTTAGGCGACATCACGGTCCTTTCACTTACTATCAAGAGTGCTTCGATAGGCTCCACTCTCTCCTCAGAATAAGTCAGGCTCTTTCCTTTTTCTCCTCAGCCTACGGCGTATTAGCAACCATTTCCAGTCTGGTCAGCCATATGGCCGTGAATCCGTTCTCGAGCCTTGTACACACCGTCGTCACACTATAAGAGATGCACTATCTCCCTTCAACCCTTTAAGCGAAATGTGGCAAAAGGAAGAAAAATCCATGGATCGACTCCATTATCTCCACCTCGTAGGAATTACGAGCTTACCCCAAGCGAATTTTTCATGCTTAAACATGTCGCAAAATGTTTCAAAAGAAAAACTATTTTAAGAAGTAAGAATGAGAATAAACAAATGGAAATGTGTGGTATGTTTGGAATAGCTCCGCGGAAAAAAAATATCTGCCAAGATAAACCTAAACAATTAATTGAAGGAAGTGTGGCCCGACATCGATTTCACGTGTTGGTTGCCCAACCTGATAAGTAGTTTTTAAATGATTGGGGTTAGAGCATCTCCAGCAGAGACCCTAAACACAGCTCTCAAATAACTTTTAGGAGGTAAGAGGAAAAATCTAGGTCCAGTAGAACCCCTACTCAAGCCTCTAGAATAAAAAGGTGAAAGGACCTTAATGTCGCCTAGACGGGGGGTGAATAGGCGTTCCTAAAATGTATTACAACTTCATAGCATATTAGAACGATGAGAACTTTCGGTTCAAATAGGAACTTCCGATATGAGATTGGAAGTTCTGGTCTCAACCGAAAAGTTCGACGGATAATGTAATAAAACACCAGCTATGAACTTGTAGCTCAAATAAACAAAATATATATGAATCAAAAGGTGACAAATAAGGTATCTAAACAAGATATAAGGTCACCAACTAAATCAATTAAGCATGCAAGTAGATCGGGTAAAAACAAGCTCAAGCATAATATGAGAGAATGCACAAATGGGCAAACCAAGAGAGGAGACGCGTGATTTGTTTCCCGGAGTTCAGATCTACGGATCCTACGTCTCCGTTGAGAAGCCACAAGGGCCGGGCCTATTTCGACCCTTTCCTCACGAGTTGCACAAATGCACTCCTTGGTTTCACTCTTGATTTCTTCCCTTGCGGAGGCGAAATCAAAGCCTTCACAAACTTTCCGTGGCACACCACAACCTTGGGTGCTCACCGGCGACGCCTAACCGTCTGGGAGACCTTAGTCCCCAAGAGTAACAAACACAATCGAAGATTTGCTTGCTATGAACTCGAGTGCTCAAAGTGTGGAGTGAAGCTCACTACCTCTCAACTTCTCAATCACTCAATCTAACTCTTTCCACTTCTCAAATCCCTCTCACAAAGAGGCACCACAAAGGATGGAGTGAAGCTCACTAGCTCTCAATTCCTCAATCACTCAATCCAACTCTCTCCCCTTCTCAAATCCCCCTCACAAAGAGACACCACAAAGGTAGGGAAATGGGGAGGGCTATTTGGCTTTGGATGTGTCTAATACTCCCCAAGAGCAGCAGCCACTCAAAGGAGGGGTGGAGGAGTTTATATACCCGAGCCCTTCAAAAACTAGCCGTTGGAGGCCAAGACTGTAATTTTCGGAGTTTCCGAAAAGCATTTTCTGACAAGTCCGAAAACTTACAGAAGCAAATCTCAGATTCGTAGCTGTTTTTTGGACAACTCCGAAAATTTTCGGAGTTTCCGGTAATTTTTCGGACTTTCCGAAAAGCACAGACTAAAACGGCTATAACTTTTCGCTCGGGAGTCCGTTTTTGATGAACTTGGACTTATGGAAAGCTCGCTCAGAGGACTACCCAACTCAACCAAAAACAAGGTCTAAAACCACTCAAAGGATAGGTTAAAGCTTGGGTTTCTCTCAAGGTAGCACTATGATAGGTCACTTTGAGCACCGAGACATACACAAACACCTCGACGTTGCATCCCTCTTAATAGTACGATATTCCTAAACTCAAATATAAATAAGAAGATAATTATACCATTAGGAATGCCTTTTTTTTATCTTTCTTTCATTGTCTTGAGGGACGCCAATGCCGATACCGTTTTACCATATATTCTTTAAATGATTGATGCGGTTACTTGTAGCTTCAAATGGTCTCTCACGGTCCATCATGACAAAGCCGTCACTTGCCCTTCACTACCGGATTTGGTTCTTCGGCGCCAAGCCCCTTGCTTGCCCTTCACCGCCGCATGGTTCATCGCGACCGAGCATCGCTTGCCCTTCACCATCTTGCCATAATAGCCACTTCGTATCACACATCTTCAATATCTTCACTTTGTCATTCTTGGTATTGTTAGGTGTAATGATATCACTTGAGCATCAATACCTTTGTAATCCTTGGGACCTATTTCTTTTATTCAACTCAATAAAACTATTAGTCCCAATGATCCGGTTGTCAACCTCCACATGTTGACCAACCGATCGCATGTATAAAAGGATATGAATAAATGATGAGTATTAATCAACACCACAATTGTCATATACTCAAATATATGTTCAAATGTAAAGATCCCAATTAAATGAAGGTGAATAACTTGGATCGATTACATGCATAACTAAAGTATAGGATTTGCTCCCCCTAAATGTATGCATACAAAATATTAGTGTGAAGCAAGAGTATGCATAACAAGATATTAAACATTGAGAGCTTATCCTATACAAGAATAGAAGGCATTTCTCAAATATAGATATTAAAATAAAAACATACCTTAATCGTCTCCACGTTCTCAATGTAAATAGACTAAATAAGAGATAATACTCAAACAAAATATTAGTCTCACATGCATATGCCAATCACGTGGAAATATTATATACGAACATATCAATATGTACATGAAGAGAAAGAGTGATACATATAGCTTGATCTCCATGCATTTCATCCTTGTGATTTAGGTCCACAAATACTCCACTTTCATATCCACATGAGACTAGGCAAAGAAATGCTTATAAAAACATTAGTCTCACATAATTGGATTTGTTATTAATCATCAAAACCAAATCAATGGCACTTGAACTTTCAGAAGGCCACCAGATCTCATCCCACAGTCCTTATTCCTAAGGGCTCCGGGCACAGCCCCCATCGACGTTTCTTCAGTGCGGGAGGAACTTTTGCTTCGCGCGCATGCATCTCCTCCCCCCGCAGGCTGCCCTGACATCGAAACTCTAATTTGCTCGCACATATGCTCCGTATGTACGTGTTGCAGATAGAAAAGTGTAGGACATTTGAACATTGTTTACTCCCAAATCTATATATAGTTCTGAACATCCTGCAAGCGTCCGTTTATCTGAATGCAATTAGAAAAGAACGTGGTTGATTTTCTGAACATTCTGCACTTTTCTGAACATTCTGTAAGTAAAGATTTTTTCTGAATGTATGTGCTCTGATGCAAGTTGTTTGCATTGCTAGGCTGCTAGCTGATATATGTGCTCTGCTCTATACTTTGCTTTTGGTTGGTAGTACCTTGTGTCAGGCAGAGAACAAAACAAAGGGCATTGCTATTGCTGAATATTGATCGTAGAATGAATTTTGCGTCATTGGGCTGCATTTTTTTCTCTGTGGATTCTGATGATGATAATGATAATATAAATATGACACCTCCACTCAAAATTACTGTGTTTCTGCATTTCCTCAATGCTTCCCCGTGTTTGAAAATTTTGAATTTGAATTTATACTGTGGTATTTGAAAATATTAATTTGAATATGGTATTTCTATGTGTTAAAAATATTCATGTTTGTATTATTGTGATACTAAACTAGGTGTAAATATAAAGTGTACGTTGACATAAAAGAGAAAAAGGAATATGAGCTAAGAAATGAGAGTTGTTGCTAGAGTTAGGAGGCATTTTTAGGGTCCTAAGGAAATGAGGGCACACCTTATTTACCCTTTGAGGGCTTTAAAATGGGGGCTATTGCTGGAGATGATCTTAGTTAGTAGTATTCTTGGGTTTTCTATAAAAAACTAGTTATAGTATATACTACCTCTATCCCAAAATATAACAATTTTTGGCTACAAATCTAGACACACAGTTTTCCAGAGTCATAGATAAAAATGCTTATATTTGGGACGGATGGAGTAGTTCTTAAGCCCGAGGTCTAGGCCCCTTAATTTACCGGTTTCAGCCTACGCTTTATAAATAGCTTTGAAGCATTTCGTCGCTTGCTATGCCCTACCTCGTATCTGGCTACCCGCTCTATTTCCTGCTTTCTTTCAATACCCGTCTCAGAGTATCCCTTCCTTCTATCTTGCTATCTATTCTCAATTGAACCTCTTTTCTGTTGTCGATTAATATAAATAAGTGAGGCTAAACATTATAAATGGTATGCAAAATCTCATTTCTCTATACGATACTATTATCTTGGAGCAAAATATCGTAGCCAGATACTCGAAAATAGTATTTAGATACTTAGATCAAGTACATTGCTATTATGACCGCACGATAGCAACTGCATATGGCATCTTGACATCTTATTTATCCAACTACGAATCATAATCTTTCATTCATTCTAGGGATGTGTTTAGATCTAGTGGTGTAAAGTTTTAGTGTGTCACATCGAATATACGGACACACATTTGACGTAAACTAATAACAAAAACAAATTACAGAATCCGTCTGTAAACTGTGAGACGAATTTATTAAGCCTAATTAATCCATCATTAGTAAATATTTACTGTAGCAATATATAGTCAGATCATGGAGTAATTAGGCTTAAAAGATTCGTTTCGTAATTTGCACGTAATTTACACGTAATCTGTGTAATATGTGCAATTAACTCTATACATTTATAGAAACATTCAATGTGACAAGGTAAAAAATTTTGACAGGGAAACTAAACCGGACCAAGATCATACGATGCACATACAAATGTTTAAGTGGCAACTACACAGGATCCTGACCTGAATTTTCAGATGGGGAAGTCCTCCATCGAACACGGTGACGAACACGGAAAGCAACCACGTGGCGACGAACACGGCTCCGACTGCCGCGTGGGCCAAGAGCAAAGCGAATGGTCAGTCCGCTGCAACAGCAAGCGAGGACTGCCCGACCGGCAGCCACGAGCGGCACTCCCGGCTCCCGCGATGGCGATGCCACGGCGGTCAGTCCGCCGTCCGCGCGCTCCGGTGGGCAGTGCCGGCTTGCCGCCGTCACAGAGTCACACACACCCTGTCGAGCGAATATGCATGTCTTCTCAAGGTATTATAATCTAATCCCAATTCCCAGATCCAGTCCAAGTCCCACTAATAGAAGCAGTGATTTTTCAGGTCTAGCTAGCCATCCACTCGAACTCTCTTGTTCTTGTTACCCAGATCTACCAGGAGGATGATAATAATCTGGTCGGCTGGTCTGCTACATGCCTGCTATCTGACGACGAATTCCTGTCGCGGAATCAGTGTTGATTTTGACCTCACCCACACCACGGTGGGTGGACTGACGCGCGCAAGAATCAGGTAAGAGATGAACAAAACGTTCCCTTCCATTACCTTTTGGCACAATCTACTGAACTACTGTATCCGCACTATGGGTCAGTTTGAGGGAGCTTAAAATTCTGAAAAGCAGCCGGTTGAAAGCCAGCTTACGAGAATCTGGAAAAGCTAGGTTTTCCAGTTTCTGCTTCTAGTTTATTTTCTTGATTCTACAACTATAGCTTCTCTCAGAATCTGAACCAAAAGCTGGACTGTTTGGGGGGAGCTTCTGATTCTGGAAGAAGCTGCAGCAGCTGGACTGTTTGGGGGGAGCTTCTAATTCTGGAAGAAGCTGCAGCAGCTAGAAGCTCCCCCAATCAGGCCCTATGACTCCTTGGCTTAAGCCAAGCACACGCCCATTTGATGAGAATTCTTTCAAGAGTTTTACGAAAATACTAACTTTTCTTCTTCCTTTCTGAGGCATCTCAACAAACTCTCCACTTGTGATTCATGCTTGTGCCCACTGCCCAACCACCACCAAACTACTATGTTGTATCTCCTCATCTTGCTCTTGATCTTTGCCCCCTCAGCATCGGCGACCGGGGGAGCGAGTGGCACAGTGCCAGTTCTGAACCCCATATCCAGGTTCTGCAACTCGACGGCCGCACGACGGACCTACCAACCGAACAGCACGTTTGAGGCCAACCTTTTGCTAGTCTGGTCGCTGCAATCGTGGCGAACGCCTCGGCGTCCGGTGGCTTCTCCGCTGGCTCCATTGGCGCCGCCCCAGACACCGTCTACGGCCTCACGCTCTGCCGAGGGGACGTCACGGGTGCGGACTGCGCTGCGTGCCTCTCCTCAACATCTGTGGACGACGTACAGCAGTGGTGTGGCCGCAGTAAGGAAGTGACTGTATACAGGGACACATGCCAGCTTTGGTTCTCCGAGCAGGACTTTGTCTCTGCTGCCAGTAATATCCCAGAGACTGCAGCATGGAACATAAACAACATTACCGAGCCAGTGTTCCCTGGGTGGGACCCAACAACGCCGAGAGTATTTCCTTTGTCACTGGCACCGTGTATACACTACTTCGTGAAACAGCAAAGTGGGCAGCGTACAGCACCAAAAAGCGATTTGCCACCGCGAAGATGGACATCGGTGGAGCCTTTCCGACAATCTATTCCCTGACGCAGTGCACACCAGACCTTTCTTCAGAAAGTTGCTTCAAGTGTCTTCAGGGTACTATTCAGGAGTCTCTGAAGTGGTTTGATGGGAGGAGAGGGGGAAGGATTATTGGGGTGCGTTGTTTGATAAGGTTCGAAACAAGCATATTCTACAACGGGGAGCCCATGCGAATTATGGGGCCATCAACGAATTCAACATCTGCAGATGGTATGTCAATGTACCTCATCTATCTGAAGTAGAGACTTTTATTAGTGCCTTGTTCATCCATGAATGTGTATATTTAACAACTACCATTTTTAGGCAATAGAAGCAAGAGAAAGCTCAGTGGTTTGGCTGTAAGCATAGTGTTTCCCGTGATGGGTGTACTTCTCTTCTGCGTCATCCTTGGCTTCGGATGGATCATCAGAAGGAATAAAATAGGTTAGGTGTTGAAATGCTATTTTGTGCAATTTGTTGGTCACAAATTTCAATTCCAGTAATAGGTATATGAATGCTTTACTGGCTCTAACTGAACATGACAACAATTCTCAACTCAGGAAAAGCTTCCCTGCAAGAAAAAACTTCTACATACTTGTATGAAGAGGAAGCACTAGCCTGGCCCATACAAGGACAGAGCTCGGAGTTGTTGTTTGACTTTGCATGCATAATACGTGCAACCAATAACTTCTCTCGAGAAAACAAAATTGGTGAAGGTGGCTTTGGTACAATATACAAGGTTAACTATACTTCGCATGAATAGTGAATACTGATCAGTTCTAAGAATGGCCTAACATGCCACACAATCAAGTCGTTGCTCATAATTTAGATTAATCCCAGTATTTACTGATCAACGCCTTAAATTTTCAGGGTAAACTTGACAGATTAGAGATTGCTGTTAAGAGGCTTGATTCACATTCTGGTCAAGGTTTTGTGGAGTTCAGAAATGAAATTCAACTTATAGCCAAACTCCAGCACTCCAATTTAGTTAGACTCCTGGGTTGCTGCAGTAAAGGAGAAGAGAAGATATTGGTGTATGAATATCTACCAAACAAAAAGCCTAGACTTCTTCATATTTGGTATCTAAAGCCTCACTGATATTATGTTGTTTGCTATACTTGGTATAATTACATCTTTTGGATTATTTGGTTCAAGTAAGAAACATTGGTGAAGCGTATCTTCAGTTAGGCTGTTCGGGCAAACCTTATATGACGTATCACGTATGTGCAGATGAGCCAAATCAAAGAGCTTTGCTAGATTGGAACAAACGACTGGCAATAATTGAAGGGATAGCACAAGGACTCCTGTACCTACACAAGCACTCCCGTTTGCGCGTCACACATAGAGATCTGAAAGCAAGTAATGTTCTCTTGGATCATAATATGAATCCTAAAATTTCAGATTTTGGGCTAGCTAAAATATTCAGCTCTAATGATATTGAAGGAAACACAAAAAGGGTGGCGGGTACATAGTAAGCACATATTACTTGACTATATCATTAACATGAGTTAACATCCAAAAATTTAAAGATTTTGTACCAGCACTGATTATGATTTGTTTTTTCAGCGGTTACATGGCTCCTGAGTATGCTTCTGAGGGTCTCTTCTCGGTCAAATCCGATGTGTTCAGTTTCGGTGTTCTGACCCTCGAGATCGTAAGTGGGAAAAGAAATCCTGGCTTCCACCAGTATGGTGACTTCCTAAATCTTCTAGGATATGTAAGTGCTCTTATGCATGTTTATATACTAGCTAGCTAGCATCACTTCGTGGGTAAGTTCTGACCGTGCATTTTTACAGGCCTGGCAGCTATGGACAGAGGGAAGATGGCTCAAACTCATAGATGTGGTCCTGTTAACCGATTGCCTAGTAGAAGCACCACTGATGATGAAATGCGTCAACATCGCATTGCTATGTGTACAGGAGAATGCGGCTGATCGACCTACCATGTCAGATGTCGTGGCAATGCTAAGCAGTGAAGGGGTGAGTCTGCCTGTGCCCAAGCACCCAGCATACTTCAACGTAAGGGTCAGAAACGGAGAGGCGTCGTCAGCTATTGATCTTGAGCTGTGCAGTGTGAATGAAGTGACCATTACAGCCCCAGGTTGTCGATAGCCAGTTCACAATCTAAATAACATGTAAGTTGCTGTTGATGAGATTAATCATGCCTACATTTGGCATTATCCATGTCAGGTGACCTTATCCTCTGGATACTCAAGTAACACAGAGGACCAGTGCATTCGGCATTGGATGACAAGTCAGCTTTCATTGGAACAGTACTAACTAAGGTCTCCTGTTGCAAGCAGTTTTTGAGATGATAGAAGAATATTCCTGGCCCGAAGCTGGATGATTAAATGATTATGTGATGTTCTTTGTTTCCTCTAGAAAACAATGGAAGTTTTTATTGTTTGGTTTGCAATCAAGGATCTTTGTTTTGCTCTTGTTGGGATCGTTTGGGCATTTCAAGGACATTTTTAGTGGTTGATCGAAGAAAAATTCTATTCGACACTGAGTTCATATTTTGAGGGTATTCTGGTACAATTTATTTTTCATAGAGAAAAGGCCATACCGCCATACTGCCCTGCTTTTATATATCGAAAACGCGGTACAATTTATTGGAGTTACTTACTTCAGAAATGAGAACTACGGCAATGGTAATCTTGAAATCACAACGAATTTGGTTCATTGTGTTTCCCGTAGGAGAAGTTTTTTCTACTTGTTTTGTCTTGCATTGTCCCACCGACTCTGAAACTACTCCCTCCATTTCGAAATGTTTGACACCGTTGACTTTTTAGCACATATTTGACTATTCGTCTTATTTAAAAACTTTTGTGAAATATGTAAATTATATGCCTACATAAAAATATATTTAACAATGAATCAAATAATAGGAAAATAATTAATAATTACTTAAAATTTTTAAATAAGACAAACGGTCAAACATGTGTCAAAAAGTCAACGGCGTCAAACATTTCGAAACAGAGGGAGTATAAAATAAGCACTACGACATAAATCGTTAACGTGACAAGCAGATTACAAAATGCTAATTCGCGCCTAGACGCGCGCTTCTCCCCGTGCAACGCAGCCAACGTGGGGGAAGGGAGGGGTGGCGAAATGGCTACCTGGCGAACATTCGCCAACTTCTGTTCCAGCGAACGTTGTCGGCCCGGTCTTCTTTCCCTTATTGATTTCTTTCCCTTTCCGTTTTTTTTTTTTTTTTTTTTTTTTTTTTTGTTTTTTTGTTGTGCGGGTTGTTTGCTCTCGGAGACTTTTCTGTCCACTTTGCTAGGCCCATTGCCTTTTCTTTTCATGGGCCGTACTGAAGAAAGGGAGACGGAGAGGAGAGAACAAACATAGAGCTTGGATATTTCCCGTTGCTTTATTTGAAATAGTGCGTCCAAAGAGTTCTCAGTCGTTGTGATTCCCATCATATCTTAATACTCTGAACATACCTGAATGTCGCTACTGTTATATTGATCTGTGTTTATTACCGAAAGAATCTGAATGATTTGAAAATTGTAGGCATTTTTTATTGAAAGGTCTTTTCATCAGCTTCCCACTCTTTTCTTATACCTACCCATCCCGGAAAATTAAAAAGAAAAAAAAAAGCTTCATGGACTTAAAAAAAAAACAGTGTTTTCATCCTTTGGTGCGGTTGGAACGTTCCTTTGGGACTTCAGCAAACTTTGTTTTGGTAATTTGCACATGATCAAATACCTAATACCGTTACAAATCATTTTATACCACAGTTAGTTAATTCCTTAGGGAATTGCTACGATGCAATTTAAAAGGTACCCTGTAGTTTATAGCATTTTTATGCTTATTTTGTGGGCTTCTTTATAAGCTGCAAAAGCTGTGGGGTTCGTTACAAACATTTCGATTACTATATCAAATGTTGTTATCACGTAAGTGAGTCGTTAAAATCAGCATTTACGCTTAGGCTAAATGTTTTTTTTATATCAAAAGCAGTTGGTATATCCTATAAATTATTATTATTTCTGAAGATTTAAGCCACATATATATGTTTTATAATTGAATCAGTCATTTTGGTGACTATATATATTTTTTTATAAACCACACGGTTGGTTATTTTTTCCTTGAATGTATATATAGTTTGTTCAACTAATCACATAGTTGGGGGCTACACCTAATTAGGTGCATCTAGTCAATGCACCTAGATTTTTTTTCTTTTTTATCCCTTCACAACTTGAGATGATTGAGGTACTCGGGAGTTGTGGTGAGGATGATTCAAGTACTCGGATTCTTCATGAAATCACTCGGGAGAAGATCATTACCACTCAGGAGTAGGTTGTCTCGTCATCTGTGAAGGTCTCAGGGGCTACTATGTAGATTATGGGTACTACGTTACCTGACTAGATATCGGGGGTAACTCATAGTAACAAAATATGTAAAGATAAGGACTCCGGTAATTTGTTAACTTGTATGTCAAGAAAGTATCTCGTAGTCTTAGTTGATTACAATTGTAAAGTATCACTTAGACCGTAAGGGATAAAGTCTTTATTCTGTAATCCCGACTCCTTCACCTATGTAAGGAGGGATTGGGAGTCCCTTGAGGGCAGAATCATATCCCAGATCGTCAATTCAATACTATAATCGGCGGAATATTTCCTTGGACAGAAGTAGGGTATTACTTCTCATCGAGAAGGCCTAAATCTGTATAAATCATTTGTCTCATAACCCATCCACTTTCATAGCTTATTCGCCACTCTTTTTAGTATTGACGAAATCTAGTTTCGACAATCTTGCGAGCAATTGCTCTTTGATTTATATCGCAAGATCTCCTGGAGTGTCCAATAGGGCAAGACTATCAGACTATGTGTGAGGGTGAGGTAACTGGGGAAATAAGATGAAACAAATGAAACGCTCGGAGCCTAGCACGGTAGATAAGTTGCTAATAACACAAGCAAGCAAGCATGAAAAGCAAACCATGGCCAAATACAAAGGGGCTCACACGTTGGAGATCAGTAGCAGTTGAGTTTCTCCACATAGTATTCGATATATGTCGCGCCCAGAAGTTCTTTTCCCAAGCAAAAATTCAATTAATAAATGGTTGGAAGAAATTATTTCTTTAGAGGCAAGAGAGAAACCCTAAATTAATAAATGCAAATAATAATCGGAATCGGCATGTGGATTTTTTCTTGGATTCTACATGTCAAAATACGCTAACAGGATTTTTAGCGGAATTTTCAGAGCATTGGAAATAATTTTAACCAATTAAAAATGAGCATGTGCAATATATAAATCCCTGGGAAAATCCTTTTTCCTTTTATCTTTTCTTTTCCCTCCTTTTTCCTTTTTCTTGGGCCCGGCCCATTCCCTCCAGCGCCGGCCCGCTTCACCTCCCCTCCCCGAAGTCCATCCCACCTCCCCTCTCCTCCCGGGCACCGACAGGTGGGGCCCACCTGTCGGTCGTCCCTAACCTCCGGCAGCCGCCACCATCCGCCGCCGAAACCGCCGCCCACGCCGCCGCTTTCTCCGCATCCGCGCCCCACTCCGCGCCCACACGTCCCCACGTCGCCGCCCCACGCCCTGCCCTCTCCCGTCCGCGCGCGCGTCCGCACGGACGGGATTCGATTTGAATCCTCTCCCCCTCTCTCTCCTCCTCCACCTCTCCACGTCGTCGCCGCGGAACCGCCGCTCCCGGCCACGTCCGGCCTCCCCACCTCTATATAACCGACCACCGCGCCTCTCTCCACCTTTTTCCCTCTTTCGCCGTCCGCCCCCGAGCTCCCTATCGCCCTAGCACCGTGCACCCACCCGCCGCCGCCATCTCCACCGCTCCGGCCGCCTCTGGCAGCCGCTAGGGTCGCCGCCGCACCCCGCCATCGGCGCCGCCGCGTCCGCCATCCCGAGGTCCACCTCGTCCGCCGTTCTCCCGTCCAATTCCATCGCCGGAGCTCGCATCTCCTCGCACTCCGGTGAGCTTCCACCATAGCTGCCGCCGTCGGCCATGGCTCTCGCTCGCCGTGGACACCTTCTCTCCATCTAACCTCTCTCACTTCCTCTCTTAGGGTGTCCCGGAGCTCGGCCGCCGTTCACCGTCGCCCTCCGGTCGCTCACCGTCGCCGTTTGCCGTCGTATCCTCCCGCGCCGGCCGAACCCCGGTGAGAACTCCCTCCCCTTCTCTTCCTCTCGCGCGCGCCGCCGCTCCCCGCATGCGCTTCGCCGTGAAGCGCCGTCGCCTGCATCGCCGGCCGCCGCCGTCGGTGGCCGCTTGCCGCCGCCGCCCTCGCCATAACCGGCCGGCCAGCTTGAAGCCGAGCCGGACCGACCGGGCGCCTCGCCGCTTCCCCCCCCTTGTGACGCTGCCCGGTGGGTCCCGCCTGCCAGCCGCCCCCTCTCCCTCTCTCCTGTGCCTCTGTCCAGTGGGGCCCGCATGTCGGCGCCGCCCCACCCCTTGCTGACGTAAGCCCTGGGGCAATATTGCGCAATAAATTGATTAAGGCTTTTCTTTAATAGTAAAAACACAGAGAATCTTCTAAAAATCATAACTAATTCATCCGAGCTCCGATTAAGTCCATTCAAGTCTCAGTAAATTCATAAAAATGTGTAGAATCCATTAAAAATGGCTTTGTTCTCTGTTTCAGTAGTCTTATAGCATGTTTTGCTTGCGTGCTTTGTTCGTCGCGTAGATTTCGGCCGTTTCGTCGATTCGCGGTTTCTCGAAGACGTTGCTGTGGTTCCATCAGTGCGAGAGCAAGGCAAGTCATGCAATACAATTGATCATATTGTACCCAATTTACAAATATCCCGCATTTCTATTAAATATTGCATTGTTTTACAATATGATTTGGGATGGGTCCTATTATTCAGCCATATATTGTTTACCTTATGCCGTTGATAACGTGGGTATTAAAACGACTAGATGTTGGTTTAGGAGATGCTTAGCCATGCTTAGTTCAACTAGTGCACAAAGGGGGATCACATTAAAGCATAGACTTGATTATTGGTATAGCTTTGTTTTAGTGCCACCGTAATGGTGTTGGTTAATTAAAATACACGTCATGGTGGGCTGTGGGTGCATGGTCTTGCTAGTCGCACCCATGGCATTTAAGGACCGGTTTGCGGGATGCCCTGGAAGAATTTATCGTACTTACCACAAGCCAGCGTGGGCAACGGCTGGGCTTGTAGTGTAGCTTTTCTCTAGCCGACGTACCCAGGCAAGGGTGGGCGTGATGGAGTTGGGTCGGCCGGGGTGTCCGGTTGATCGGCTTCCGGATTCACCGCGGCACGAAAGGGGGGCTGCCCGTTGCCTGCTGGGGACGGGGGCGAACCCTAAGGTGTGGTGCGATCGGTTAGAGGGGGTTATGCGAAGGGTCCTGTCACGGCCTCTTTCCGGTATGTCGTGGTGGCATGTCGGCGCACGGGAACGTGTCGTGGGGCTGTGTCTTGTGGGTACAGTTGTACACCTCTGATCAGAGTAAAACTATTCGAATAGCCGTGCCCGCGGTTATGGGCGGTCGACCAGATTCACCGTGATTAGTTTCACCCTAGTTAGCTTTTGGAACTGATTAGTTCAGGTGGTGGTTTGGGCCTATTGCAACGTGGTGTAACGTTGGACAGTGATTGGTTAATATGGATTAATTACTACAACTGTTTTACTGCTTTCAACTACTGCTTTGAAATGCCGGCTTTATGCAAAAGAACCTTTAGC